TCCAGAGAAAGGAAACTGAATTAAATCGCACTCTTTCTGGAGTTCGCGCCGACCAATGGCTTCGAATCAAACATGCAAAATAAAAGAGTTAATAAACCTGTTTGTTGACTCTCTGCGTCCTCAAGTAATCTGGTTGCCTTTGTGCCGCCGCTGAGTCCTGGATTTGTTGGCTGCCTTTCTCCACATCCGAGACCGAAAACCAGGCGAGGCAGGTAAAGCTGCGCAGATCTGTGGAAGGAGCAGAACAGGTGACTTCCCCTAAATTCTACCCCTATCACCTGTTGGGAGGAACTTGTCTCTGACTCAGCCGCCCCAGGACCAGGATCCACCCTCAGCAAAGTCACAACTCTGCGTTGATGTAAGAGTTTTGCTCTGCAAACAGTCAAGGTGACACCCCCCCCAACCTTCATGCAAGAAAAAAAAGTGGCTCGAGAGTGCCACCTAGTGCTCATTTGGAGTCTTGCCGTCCAGAAATTTATTCCTATTGCGATTAGAACTTGAATAGCAGAGTTGGGGGGGGGGGGGCTTGAAAGTCTTCTAGTCCAACCCCCTGCTTAGGCAGGAAACCCCTATAATATTTTTCAGACAAATAGTTATCCAACATCTTCTTCAAGNCTTCCTTCCTTCCTTCCTTCCTTCCTTCCTTCCTTCCTTCCTTCCTTCCTTCCTTCCCTATGTTCCCAGCCTACTTACTTCTGAACAAACTCCTATCAAACTCCACCTGCCTGAAAAGGACTTTTTATACTCATCGCAATTCAGCCAGCCACGGATTCCGTGTCCTGAACACTTTCCAGCTTCCCAGCGCTTGGACAGAGACCGCCTGCCAAGCAGGAAGCCTAATATTTATCAGCGAGATAAAACACAAATTGACATAATGACTTTCCATGTATTCTTCCTGTCTGGAGTTCAGAACAGTTGCTGCTTTACCAAGTTTGCTAACCCCTTGAACTCTTAGGAGTCTGGTAAGATAAACCTGATAGAGATCTTGCAATTGATTTTATTTATTTACAAAATTTCTATTTTGCCCATCTCACCTAAGGGGCTCTGGGTGGTTTAAAAGTAAAGCTTGCCCCCGCACATCTGTGCTAGTCGTTCCCGACTCTAGGAGGCGGTGCTCATCTCCATTTCAAAGCCGAAGAGCCAGCGCTGTCCGAAGACGTCTCCGTGGTCATGTGGCCAGCAGGACTCAAAACCGAACGCGCACGGAACGCTGTTTCCTTCCCACCAAAGGTGGTTCCTATTTTTCTACTTGCATTTTTTAACGTGCTTTCGAACTGCTAGGTTGGCAGAAGCTGGGACAAGTCATGGGAGCTCCCTCCGTTACGCGGCGCTAGGGATTCGAACCGCCGAATTGCCGACATTTCTGATCGGCAAGCTCAGCGTCTTAGCCACTGAGCCACCGCGTCCCTATCTGGGTGGTTTACAACAGCACAATCAAACAATCTAAACGCCTGATTACAGATAAGCCTTCAACTTACGAACGCAACCACCCCAGAATTTCTGTGGTTAAGCGAGACGTTTGTTGAGATTTGCCCCATTTTGCAACCTTTCCTGGCACAGTTGTTGAGTGAATCACTGCAGTTGTTAAGTCAGTCACACGGTTGTTAAGTGAGCCTTGCTTCCCCATTGGCTTTGCTTGTTAGAAGGTCACAAAAAAACCCATGACACCAGGACACAGAAACCGTCATACATGTGTGTTACTTGCCATGCATCTGAATTTTGATCTCTCTCTCTCTCACACACACACACACACATACACACACAGCTGTGTGTTTGTGTATGTTCAAGCATAACTCTGGAACGCCTCGAGCAATTTCAACCAAAGTTGGTACCCAGATGACTTACTCTGTAGAGAAAAATAATGTGGGAGTAAGGCACCCCTAACACCCCTCGGGGTATGTGTTCTGTTACAATACAGCCTGTTGTGCCTTCAAATGGCTTCTACTGTACAGCCGTAAAATGGCTTGTACTGTACAGCGCAGTGGAGTTGCCATGGCAATGGCTTCACAGTACTCCACAAGGGGGCTTCCTCTGGTAAGGAGGAAAATCCAACATTAGAAATTACATTTGGTCTGCACATTCCCCCCCCAAAAAAAATAAATACCCGGGCAATGCCAGATTATCAGCATAAGTGTTCACTAAAGAAATTGTCGTAAGGACTAATTATAAAAGCACAGATCTAGCCAACAGAGACTAGTTAAAGTGAATTTTTAACCCACATCAGTTCCAATAACCCCTCTTAAGCTTTTTTTTTGACACTTCAAAACTATTTCTCCCCCCCATCCTCCCCTTCCATCCATATGAGTATTAGTACCAGCTGGCGCGATAAGATTATCTACAAATATCGCCACGGTGCAGAATGACTACCGGCTTCAGAAGGGGCTGCGCGGCGTTTGTTAACTTCTAAAAAAAATAAAAAATCCCAGTTCATCGTTATCTGTTAAGCAAAGAGGAGATCAGGAGGGATTCCAGAAAAATTTTCTGAGACCCCAGTCGGTTAATCCTAATCAAGGAGTGGATTAAGTGAGGTCTTTTGAGCACTTGGTTGGCGTGTTGTGGATTATGTGTCCCTGAAGTTGTGTGCGAACTGTTAAGACGGAAGGGAAGAAGGGGGGCTCCGGAGGGGTTTTTGTAAGATGAAACGAGGGGGGGAACGATCACACAAGGATCGGCACACCTTCTTGAGCGCGACGGCTAATCTGATGTGTCGGCAAAAAAAATATAAAAAAAATCAAGAGCTTCCATCTTTGAACATGGAAATCTCTTAATGGGCTTAAGGATTTAAACCAGATCGGTTTCGGTCCCTTTGCTGATTTAACTGCTACCAATTCCTGAAGGTTTTGGGGTGAAAAAGGAGAGGCGTAAGCTTCAAATTATACACGCCTAAAACTTCTACAAAGCTTTGGGCAAACTAGGAATTTGCTACATTAACAGGAGAATTAATTCGACTTTCCTTTAGGGAATCAACCATTTTATGAATCATCTCCAGGCCCATGCGGTCTTTTTAAAGCCATTGTGGGATTGTACAAACCATCATTTCAGGTTTGTCCCCAAAACTGGACAGTCAAAGGATGACCAATGTTTCGGACCTCAGGGACCACTAAATACACACTAAATCCTAATATGATCTGCCTAATGACCAGCTGGCTGGGTGTGGCTAGGTGGTCATGTGACTTGGTGGGCGTGGCCAACTTGATGTCACTTCCGTCAAGGGGTGCTTCGCTGGCCTCTCCTCCCCCCTCCCCTCCCAGCCACTCCTCACCTGCCCGCCTGAGCTCCTTAGGGCCCATCAGGAAGCAGTTGCTGGAGCTAAGCAGCCACCAGGAGAAAGAGTTGGCAAAACAGCTCAGTTCAAATTGGNCTCTCTCTCATTCTCTCTCTCCTCTGTCTCCTATTCTCTCTCTCCTTCTCTCTCTTCTCTCGCTCCTTCTCTCTCTCCTGTCTCCCATTCTCTTTCTCCTTCTCTCTCCTGTCTCCCATTCTCTCTCTCTCCTTCTCTCTCTCTCCTTCTCTGTCTCCCATTCTCTCTCTCATTCTCTCTCTCCTCTGTCTCCTATTCTCTCTCTCCTTCTCTCTCTTCTCTCGCTCCTCTCTCTCCTGTCTCCCATTCTCTTTCTCCTTCTCTCTCCTGTCTCCCATTCTCTCTCTCTCCTTCTCTCTCTCTCCTTCTCTGTCTCCCATTCTCTCTCTCATTCTCTCTCTCCTCTGTCTCCTATTCTCTCTCTCCTTCTCTCTCTTCTCTCGCTCCTTTTCTCTCTCCTGTCTCCCATTCTCTTTCTCCTTCTCTCTCCTGTCTCCCATTCTCTCTCTCTCCTTCTCTCTCTCTCCTTCTCTGTCTCCCATTCTCTCTCTCCTTCTCTCTCTCTCCTTCTCTCTCTCTCTCCTTCTCCCATTCTCTCACTCTCATTCTCTCTCTCCCTCCTTCCCCCCCTCTCTCTGAATGCTGTAATGCCCTCCGATAACGTATTTTTCCCCTCCGGGAGCCATTGATAAAAACATGGCTCCATTTATACACCATAATTAAATTTTAGTTTAATGTTACACAAATGCAGTCCATACAGATTTTCAGTGACCAATAACCCTGTGAGGTAGGCTGGGCTGAGAGAGACCTGGCTGGGTTCTCAGTCTCAGGGAGGACTAGTATTTGGGTTTCAAACCCACCTGCTTAGTCCTCGCACAGACCTGGAGCACAAGGGTGTGTGTGTGGGGGGATGCTGGGGCAAATGCATCCTGGGATAGGCTGTTCCATCTTGGACAGCTCTGCTTCACAGGTGGGCAGGAGACCACCAGGAAATCCTGCAGGCAAAGGTGGGTGGGGGGAAGCAATGGCAGACCCACCAATCCCTCTTTTCCAAAGACAGACTCTGTTCAACCTGGAGGTCTCTTACTTTTAACAGGAGGATAGGAGACCACCAGGAAATCTTGCAAGGTGTCAAGGGAGGGAAATGGGAAGAAATCATTGGCAGACCACCATTCTGTCAAGGTGGGTTGGGGCCTGGGGAGGAGAGGACAGTCCCTAATTACCCCATTGGCTTCCCAACCCAAGGCGGAAGTGGAACTCAGGACATCAAGGCGGCTCTCAAGGGGCCCTAAGAGAGAGTGTGTGTGTGGGGGGGGGGGAATCCCTCTTTCTAAGGGAGGGGCCTTGTGTGTGTGTGTGTGTGTGTGTGTCATAGGGGTCCTAAGTATGTGTGTGTAATCTGTGNAGAAAAATAAAAAAAGCAAAGCTTTTTTTTAAAACCACCAACATACCTTGATAGAATGGGCTTGAGAGTTTTAGTGTTGACAAAATCATAAATGCAATGTCTACACCTCAAAAGGAAATGTTATAAATTTTGTGGGGAAAGGGATTTGATCATACTAAATGGAGAAGGTATCATATCTTTGTAATCCGCTTGAAGCTGCAACTACTTACTCTAGAACAGTGGGGGTCTCAACCTTCCTAATGCCGCGATCCTTTAATACAGTTCGTCACGTTGTGGAGCATAAAATTATATATCTCAGGTTGAGAACCACTGCTCTAGAATATGGTCCTTCTGCATCTTGCCAGTAATGATAGGAGACCGTTTAAAATGGGAGAAGCATTTAGGAAATGGGGTGGGGGGTAGTGAGGGTAGGGGGACAACTAGCTTTTGGGCCGGTTTACTCACCAGCTGGTATTCACTTCGACGGCTGAAGGCTTCCTTGATCCCAGAATCCCTCCACAGGCCTGTCAGAGCTGGTACATACAACTGGAACACGGAGGGCTCAATGAACATGCCCGCTTTATTTTCAAAGGCCATTAGGAACATGGCATGTTTCTCGTTTTCCGCGTACTGCCAAGGGATGCCCAGTTTGTCCCGTGCATCGACGAGAACCCTGCAGCCCTAAAAGCAACAACGGAGAAACAGACATCAGCTCCCATGCTGCCCATCTATGCGCAATCTTTAACACACTAATAGAACCATATGGGCTTGACTTAGCCAGTTCTCCCTTGCTCCACATTCCAAGATATTTTAGACAACTCTTGAGAGCCAAATTCCATCCTTATTATTAAGCCGGGATGTGGTTTTTCTTAAAGATAAAATCCCCATTTGTTGTGGGTAGCAGTGTGCCACCAACACAGCAAGGCTGCTTCGGCGAGGAAGGAAAGGATTCGGTTTTTGCAACACCTGCAGCTGATTGGGAGTCAAACTTCTGTTAAGTCTCACTTTAGAACCACTTTGAAGGTACAGGAAGAGATCCAGAAAAACCTTCCACAGAATAAACAAAGATTTTTGGGGGGAGGGGGAAAGGGATTTCCCATCCTCCTTCTTAAGAAAAACCGTGGCTTAGGCCAATAATTTAGGATCGGTTCGCAAGAGGAAAAATCTGGATTCCTAAGGTTTAGAACAGGTTTTTTTTTAAACCCTCAGGCTGGAAAGCCGTATCTGAAGACAAGCCTGTGCAACGAGCAGGGTGTGTATATCCTGCACGGCTCCCTTATTCTCATTCTCTCTCTCTCTCTGTCTCCCATTCTCTCTCTCCTTCTCTCTCTCTCCTTCCCTCTCTCTCTCTCTCTCTCCTTCTCTGTCTCCCATTCTCTCTCTCATTCTCTCTCTCCTTCTGTCTCCCATTCTCTCTCTCTCTCCTTCTCTGTCTCCTCTGTCTCCCATTCTCTCTCTCCTTCTCTCTCTCTCTTTCTCTGTCTCCCATTCTCTCTCTCTCTCATTCTCTCTCTCCTTCTGTCTCCCATTCTCTCTCTCCTTCTCTCTCTCTCCTTCCCTCTCTCTCTCTCTCTCTCCTTCTCTGTCTCCCATTCTCTCTCTCATTCTCTCTCTCCTTCTGTCTCCCATTCTCTCTCTCTCTCCTTCTCTGTCTGCTCTGTCTCCCATTCTCTCTCTCCTTCTCTCTCTCTCTTTCTCTGTCTCCCATTCTCTCTCTCTCTCATTCTCTCTCTCCTTCTGTCTCCCATTCTCTCTCTCCTTCTCTCTCTCTCCTTCCCTCTCTCTCTCATTCTCTCTCTCCTTCTCTGTCTCCCATTCTCTCTCTCTCTTTCTCTCTCTCCTTCTGTCTCCCATTCTCTCTCTCTCTCTCTCTCCTTCTCTGTCTCCCATTCTCTCTCTCT